ATTTGGAAGTTATTTTTGCATCTAAAGGAAGATTGGACCACTAATTATAAATATGACTATAAAAATAATACAGTGATGCAGAAAAATAGGCTGTTGGAGTACTTACATAAAAAGGAAGAGTTTATTATCAGTTTCTATGAAAATCTGCATGTTTGTTAGAGATGGCATTAAGGCAAATGTCTTTGTAAATACAGGGGCTGGATAATTTCAGAAACAAAAACAATTAAACTGTCATCCGAATGCTAAATGGCACTGCAGGCATCTGGGTGTTTCTTTTCCTGGTTGTATGTCATTACAGTGGTGTGATTAGCGCATACCCTACTGAATGTTCTGCGAGGTGCTAAGGACCTTCCATTTGTTCATATGGTGTAAGTGTTAATTTACAGCAGGGCAAAGAACTGAAGGGAAGACAATTACCTGTGTAAGTCACTTTCATTCATAGCAGTTGCTTTTCTGATTTGGTTTGCATGCACCATATATTTTCCCCACATTATTCTTATGATACTGCAGTAAGTAGAAACTGAAATAGAAAAAAAATAACTCATTTTTGAAAAGTGGAAACCATTTTCCATCCTAACTGGCCATGTATGAGTGATTAGGTAGGACTGAATTTTCCAGTAAGAAGAGGGCTTCTGAAATTATAGAGAATGCTCAGAGATGCCATTAGATACAGTACAATACAATAACTTCAATAGAATAATATTGACTGTTCTTTTCCTCTGAAAATATCCTCACTCCATGTCAAGCTACACTAAAATTACCCCGATCAGATATAATCTTAGCTACTTGTGCAATTACCTGTACTAAATGATAAATATTTTCTACGTTAGAATGTTTTTGTTCCTTCCTATGTAGCATTCTCTCTAAGCTGTATTTGTTATATTGTCCCCAGCTATCCATTGCAGTCTGAATCCAAATGGTATTGATCATCCTGTCCACACAGAAGGCATTAACCTCCCACTTGAAGGTGAAGGAGTCGAGTCACTCTCGCTTAAGAACGACAGTACCCAGAAGGCGCCTGAGTCCAAAGAGACACCCAAAAGAGAGCAAGCAGAACCAGAAACTTCAAAGGTAGGAATTATTGGATTCAGAAATGTGGGTTTTCTAGAAAATTTTGAATTGGAAAACTTTCCAATGCCCTAAATAGAGTGAGATCTGATTTAGCATGTTTATTTGACTTGTATTTAGTAAACAAAACTAAAAAAGTACCCCTGTGTTAATGTTATGTCCCAATAGCAACAAGAATTTGAACTGAAATATTTGATTAGGAAAAAAATTAAATGGAGCACGCTTAATGTGGTTTAAATGTTACATTCAAACAAATTCAAAGCTTTATGTGGAAAGAAAATATTTTTATTGGAATACTTGTAAAAATAATACACAACAGCATGTATATTGTTTGTTTAAATTTAAGAAAAAAAACTGAAGGCACTGAAAACTATTGACATCAATTTTAGCACATCCAAAGAACTGTGGATGATATGCCATGGCTGTCCACTCGTCTACTTCAACAGGGTTTAACACTCTTCCACTGAGGCCATTGTGGCACCTCCAGTCTCTCTGTCACTATCTGGAGAATCACTTGCACTACTTGTTAGTTCCATTTCAGAAGCAGATTGAGGACAATGATGTCTTTGAGGACAATCTGATTCAGAACTACTTTAGTGAAAGAGAATGTGGTTCAAGGATAGTTTTACCAATGAGTCTATGGGTAAGAGCAACTTATCATCACACTGCATCCTCTTCACTAATTGTGCTTCTGACTGATTCTCCAGAAGCAAGAGATTTTGAGAAATAGAAACAAGCTTAGCTGTGCATTCATTTGTTAGTCTAATCCTCCTTTTTTGTCTTGATTGAGCTGACAGGCTTCCTGTTCCGTTTACAAGAAGCTGCTGTTGGTGGACTGCTTAGGATCCTTAAAGCGATCTTGGATAACAGTTGGGTTTTACAGTATCCCTTCCACCATGTGAGAAGAGACATATTTTCTGCTGCCTGCCAAATGATGTCTTTCCTCCAAAGTTTTGCTTTTGCACGGTACTTGGCAGTGTCTGTCATCACAGCTATTTGGTCAATGTTGGGGACATTCTTAGCTACTTCCATAATTGTACCGAGAGCAATAGATAATTCATCTTCTGATAAATGTTGTCCTCTGTGTTGAGGATCCAAAAGGTTTGCTGCCAGCTGAACTGGATGAGAGCAAAACTCAGATCTCTTAGTAAACATTTGTTTTCCTACTACTTCTTTTTTGGATAGAGGTGAACAAGGCAGAAGCTCATTCAGATATTCATTCAGTTGTCTGAACATCTCTGGAATATTTGAAAGGCGTGATGTATCTCCTTCAAGTTTCTTGATAGCCACTGAAACTAGTAGTATTTATAACTTTGAAGCTGCCAAGCTTTCTTAATATTTTATTGGCATCCATTCATTGTTACTAACGAATTTTATGAAACAATGAATTCTTACAAATGGAAAATTTTCCATGAAAAAATAAAGCCCTGGAAAACTTTCTGTGGAAAATTTTCCGCCCCACGTCTCTGATTGGATCATTTATTTATCATTATTTTGCAGAGATCTGCAGCATCGAAACATTTCAAAGTCATAGCAATGGCTTGAAAGAGCTTATGATACAAATAAGAATTGCATAAGAAGTGAAAGCAGCGCTTGGAAGGGGAACGGGTGTTGCAGAAATATGGAGTTATTGCTATTCAGATTTAGGCATATGCACCACCTGGTGCTTTCAATATTTTATAGCTGTCTATATGAAGACAGATTATTTTGACTGTTGCAAACATGGCAACCAGCTGTTTTTTCTGAGTGACTTGAATAAGTGACTTGAGTGGACCAGAGCGGGAATGGTAGTTTTTTTTTATATGGCTATCTAAATATATGGGCTTTTGGATGGGTGACTGAGCTGAATATTCTTTGTTAACTAGGAAGAATATCCCAGTCAATTTCCCCATATCTGACTATGAACAATCAAACCTCAGATGAGAATTTTAAAGAGAAATGAACTCTCTCTTCTCAGTTGTAACTTGTTATGAATTTTGAGTTTCTTGTTCATGGACAGTAGAGATGTTTGTCAAATACAGGTGAGCGTATATGCTCCTGTCATATTTCTTCTGGGGAAAATATCTTGTATCTCTCTGTGGACTCAAAACACACATTTTTAACTAGAAGGGGAAATAAGCAAATGTAAAATCTATTTTGGGCAACTTTTCATAAAAATAATTTGACCTATTGGAAGCCATAAAAACTGACTTGTTGATGGGGGTAAGTGGGGGATGCCTGCTGAGTGGAAGATTGATGTTTTTGCTGAATAGTTCATTTTGGGAGTTATTGGAGTGGATAAAATAGTAGTAGTAATAAACAAAAAATGAAGACTGCTTTAACAATTGTTTTCAGTAACTTTGAACAAATAAAAAGATTTTCAACAGTAGATGATACATTACATTTAACAGATAATGAATTTCTAACCACAGTGAATTTCACTTTAAATTCCATTAGTTTTAGATACTTGAGCAGTAACTTTAATGATAAAAACTTATTATGAATTCTATGTAACACTTTATTTATTTTAAGATAACTAGGTATAAACATGTCATTTAAACTCATAATGCTATTTTTTCACCAAGGACTTGATCCAAAAAGAGGACTTAGGCACCTAACATCTGCTTATGTCCTGATTTAGGTGTCCAAGTTGAAAGTTGCAATCCAAAATACCCTTCCTCAGTGACCACCTAAACCAAGAGATGTCTAATAGAGTTATGCGAAACAGTACCGTTCCGTTTTGACTTACGTTTTGACGGAACGGTGTTTCGATTCAAAACTGCTGTTCCGTTTTGTTTCGTCGAAACAGTTTCGCTGTTTCAACGCTGTTTTGACGTTTCACCCATAGGCTATAATGGGGAAGCTTGAAACAGCCTATAACTTTGTCATTTCTGGCCTGATTTGGATGAAACTTGCAGGAATGGTAGCCCCTTCTGCGGGCATGAAGCCTGCCAAGTTTCAAGGAGATAGGTGTAGGGTTTTCAGGGAAATTGCACCTCAAGCTCCTGACCAGCAAAACTTGTGACATGGGTGACACTGTGTATGTGTTAAGGCACAGCAGGGCGAAAACTGCAGGCCTGCTGAGGCCACGAAGCCTGCCAGCTGTCAAGGAGATTGGTACAGGGGCTTCTGGGTTCTGGGTCCTGCACCTCTGGTTGCTGAGAGGCAAAATTCATGACATGGGTGCTTGTGGGACTATGTCTGTCTTGGGGCACAGGGGGGTGAAAACTGCAGGCCTCCTAGCCCTGCTGTGGCTGCAAAGCCTGCTGTCAAGGAGATAGGTGCAGGAGGAGTCTGGGTTCTGGGGCCCTGCACCTCTAGCTGCTGACAGGCAAAACTCGTGACATAGGTGTGTGTTGAGGTGCGCACTCACTCAACTGACACCAAGGCAGAAAGCAGGGCAATTCGAACAATGCTGCCTTTTTTGCAGTATGTCCATCCGTCCCCCAGAGCACTGGGATTGGAAGAGTCCTCAGGAAAGGATGACAGTCACTGGCCAGTTGCACAGTCAGTAATGAAAGCAGTCCACCCCCTTTCTGTTTTGACTTGCCTCATTTCATTTTGAGACTGTTTTGAAGTTCTCTGTTTCATTTCAATTTTGCTGTTTCAAGCTTGAAACGAGCCAAAACAGCGTTGAAACAAAACTGCTGGTGAAATTTCACACAGCCCTGATGTCTAACAGCGTAGTGTGCCTCCCTGTTTATCCTGGAAGTTCCCCTGATGCTTGCTGTTCAATTTTCTACATATGCCCAGAACTGCCCTGGACTTGAGCAGTTATGTACCTCACTCTCTGCCTCAGCCCTACAGGGAAGATCCAGAAATCAGTAGAGGTGCACTGATACATCAGTCTATGTCAGGGGTGGGCAAAATACGGCCCGCAGGCCGGATTTGGCCTGCAAGGCCATTTTATCCGGGCCGCGGGGCCCCTAAAAAATTTAGAAAATTAATATTTATCTGCCCTTGGTTCCTGTCAAAAATGACAGCTCCCACAACAGCAGGGCCCACCTGGCCCCGCCCCCCTGGGGCTTCTGGCCTTGGACCATGTGGCTGCCCCGCGCTGGAACCTCAGGTAAGGGGGAGGGGGAGGGCAGGGGAGAGACTGCGGGCAGGGAAGGAGCCCGGGGAAAAGTGGCGTGGGGAAAAGCTGCGAGCGGAGGGGAAAAGTGGCCCCTCTCCTGCCCCGTGCCCAGCACCCCGTGCTACTGCCACTTGCAGCCTGCCTGGGGCTGCCTGTGCCTGCTCCAGGCAGCCCTGTGCAGGCTGCGAGCAGCTGCAGCAGGGAACGCCAACCACAGGATGAGGAGGGGCTTTTCCCCATGCTCAGCTCCACAGACCCTTGCCAACCTACTCCCCGCTTTGGGCCCCACCGGTGCTGGCCCTGGGATATTGGTCCCAAGATGGTGACCAGAGGGTGGGGCACCTGTCAAAGGGCGGGGCTACCCGTGCGGCCCTCGACAGCCTACCAAAACTGGGTAAGTGGCCCTCTGCCTGAAATAATTGCCCACCCCAGTCTATATCATATTGGCATCGATAAAAGGAAAATTGACATTATTGCCAAGCAGCTTTTTTTGGCTGATATGGCTGATAATGACACCAGTAAATGCTGTGTGCATGCATGCAGCCACAGCGGGCATGGGGGAGGGAAGGGGTGTTGGGCGGCAGTTCAAGGCCCCTGTGGTGAGGGAGGGAGTGGGGCTGGGCCAGGGTGCAGGATGGAGCCGATGGCTCATCTGGGGGACATGGGGGGCTGGAAGCAATTCCCATTGCTGTGTGAACCCCTAGGAGAGGCATGGGGGGGGCACATGCCCCCCAGATCTGTGTGCAGAGTGAGGGTGGGCTGCTGACTGCGTTCAGGGCCAGGGCTGCTCCTGTGTCTTCCTGGTGGCTGTGCTTGGGCCAGGCGGGGACTACCCCGCCCAGCTTAAGTGCAGCCACTGGGAAGAGCCTGGCACACCTCCCAGTTGTGAGCGTGCAGAGGCAGCACACCCTCATCCCACTCAGTAACCACCATGCCTCCTCAGGGG